TCACAGCGGACAGTACGTTGATTGATTTATGATCGACCAATGTTCCATATACGGTTATTATGTTCTTGTCTGTTCGCCACTAACTTTTTATAATCTGTAATAAATGCAATATTCTTGCTTCAAATATAATAAAATTAAAAATGCCAAATCTGTGAAAAGTACAGAAATATTAGGTCTCATCATAATGGATCAATATACGAGATAATTGCGTTAGTTTCCAAATTTAAAAACATTTTACATTTTATAGTTTAATAAATATTTATATATCGAGCACAGTTCAACTCTCGAGTTGCTGAAGTAAAATGTTACTTCAAGTAACATTTTATTTCAACTAGACTTCTTACTGCGGAAGGTTAAAATTACCTTCACACTTGCGTAGCACCTATTTGTCTGCGCGATTTTTCTAAAATGTCTTCGAGCTTATTTCTCCGATAAAAAGCAGGATTCTCGTTCCCTCATAAATCTCGAGACATTCGTCATGAATTTCGAGCAAGTTGTATGTTTGTCCATTAACTTTTGCGAATATCAATCTCGTACAACGGCCAAAGCCTTCTGCAATGGGGAAATATCACAGTTCGTGACTTGCGTTTTCATGCAAATACAATTTATTCGGTTTCGCTCTTTCGACGGAGATACATCGATGCAGGATACGAGTGAATTTTAAAATACTGGTAATTTGTCGCACGTGATATAAGCCCTACAGGCACGATAAAGAATTGTGGAACGACTCAACGTTTCTCAACCGTAGCGCGCGGTTTCCGACGCAAACGGGCTATCGTAATTCTAGTAACAGCCAATGAGCCGAAAATTGGAACGATATACCAAGCACACGAGCGAACGTGAATATTCACAACGTTAACGAGCTATTATCTGGAATAATTTGTATTGACCAGTACCGTTCGAGATTTACGGCTGCAGATAATGCGAGTTAGTCACCGAGCAGATGTGCCGTATTGACTATCGAGACGCGTCTGTACGAAAATAGACATCTCAGGAAGAAAATACCCGCGTCCTCTCCCGTATTATTTCTTCCATCATTCTCGTTACCACAAGCAATTTTGTTTCAATTAGTCTGCGCTACGGCAGAATTTGGAAATATCTTTAAGGTTTTATTAGACTCCGTGATGACCCAAAAAACTTTGACACTTATTACAATTCTCAACAGGAACTTCCATCTTCTCTTGTGCAACTATCACTTACCGCGATTTACGAGTACAATTTTCAGTTGGTCGACGTATCTCATGAATCGATCGTCTCATCTGTTCTCATTAACAAAATTAAGTTTCACGAAGTCTCGCAACGCGAGACACACCAGAGTTTCCCGCGTCGCCTTAGCTTAGTATAAGCATCGATTTATTCAAGAAAATGTAACGATTACGCACACACATGTGAGCGATGTTATCATACAGCGCTGATACTTTTTCAAGTCTCTTCATAATGAGTTTGCCAATTACACTAAGTGCAACGATCAAGATAGATAGATGAAGTAATCCATCAATTCCTAAGTTTTGCCCGGAATATTTTCCTACTTCGGACAGTCAACGAGACAGCTACCTTCTTGACCGATAAAACACTTGAAGCTTGAAACAACGCACGTCGTGTTAATGCGTAAAGGTATGTGAAATAAAAATGAAAGAAAGAAATTTTCAATCGATAATTATTCAATCAATAATTATAACAATAATTACTTCAATCGATAACAGAAACACTGTTATTTAATGATGTGCTGACTGGAAAATAGCGGGGTTGTTGCCGTGTTAAACGAACTGTTAATAAAGAGAATTCATACATATAATTTTATTTAAATTTATATCTATTGCAATTTTAATCAAGTGTACGTATTTGTAATAATAAACATGCGCAGCGAAGATTTAGCCGGCTAAATTGTTACTCGTTCATTTCTTTTCAATTTTTAATCAACAGACCTGTGCGCAGCGTCCAACGTAAATATATGTCAATCGCGTTTTCACGTTGCACTTATCGATCCTTATCCCGGCTTATTTCGCATCTCGAGACCATAATCTTGGTTAAAGAAAAAGACATGTATTATCATGTGCGGAGATCCATGAAAATCAGGTCTCGTCTCCCGACACGAAGCAGAATGTACGAGCAGAATCGAAAAGAGGGTGACGGATCGACGGCATCATTCGCCACGGTCGATCAAATATGCGCCGATCTCCGCTTTCCACTTCACGGATAAAGCGTCTCGCGTTCTGTTCTCGCGCGTCCTTATATTCTTACGTCGTTCAGCGCGCTTCAATTTCGAACGGATATACGAGCTTTGTGGGACGCGGAAAGATCGTAAACTCATTTCCATTGATTCGTCGTGCTACACGTGATACACGTGCGAAAAGGAAAATGAGTTGCTGAGACCAAGAATAGAAAGAGAGAGACAGAGAGAGAAAGAGAGAGAGGGGGGAGAGGGGGAAGATGGCTGATGGAGAAAAAGGAAGAGAAAGAGATTGATGAAAAACTCGAACCCTAAAAAGGTCATTGCTCGACTTCTACCCTCTTGATATCTGCGATGCTGAACCTTCGGCAAATATTTATACTGGCTATGTATAGAAATAAGAGCGAATTTTATCGGTAAACACACCCGGACGTGAAGCCAGAGAGAATGGCGCTTGTCGGGTGTAAAATTCCGAGAGGCGGCGAGTCGACACTCTCATGCTGATGGCGATTACGCCTGATGTTCTTTCACACAGTTCTCAAGGTGTTTAGAGTGCGTTTTGAAGCGTGCAAGTGTCAAATTTAGAATAAGAAGAAGGTTTTAAGAGAACTAAAAATGATGGAACTAAAGTAAAAGAATAAAAGTAACAGAAATGTCACAAAACGGATGTTTTTTTAAATTTAAAAAATAATTTTTTTTATATCTTTATTCGTATTTCGTATCAATGGGATGATTTTTGATGATATGTCAGAATTTCCTTTCAGTCCAAAATTTAAAAACAAATTGCTGATGCAATCTTTCTGTATGATATTATAGTAGTCTTTTTGTTGTCTCTTATCAATTTTAACATTCAAAGTCTTTTTAAAAAATTCCATTATTTCGGCCTCTTCTATATCGATCAAATCTGTTTCATCGTGATCCTATCATAAGAATAAATAAATGTTGTACTCTATTCGTGGGATTTTTTCATCATTTCGATCAAGAGTTTTAAGTGTTTTGTATCATCTGCTTTATTGAGATAATTTGAGTGAGATATACGTAAACCTTTCCAGTCCATTATTACATTTCTGTTTCTACTTATACACAAAAAAAATAATTTATATGTTTTTATTTGTATTTTGTATTTGTATTTTATTTGTTTTTTTCTCCTAAATAGATCTTACATATGTGTAAGTAACTAAATAAATAATAACAAGAAAACAGTTGAGTATGTGTGTTAAAACTACGCCTATCGTCAAAAGCGCTTCGCGCGTTTAAAAATACAACATTCATCGCGTTTGTCACTTCAAAGGTTCGTTGCGATTTCGTAAGTTTACAATAATTACTGTATTGCAAGTTTAAACTTGTTCCATACGTGACTTGCCGTCGTGACCGCGGATCAACGACAGACAACGTAAGGACGACCGATTCAACAGGTGTTACATCGCAAAACTACGTAGAGTAAAGTGTGGACGATAAGAAGGGCAATTGAAAATATCGACGACTTTGTCCTGTATATGAAGCATATTATAAAAGTTTCATTAATTTCAATCTCGCTGGTATACGTTCATACACTACAAGTATAAATGTATTATTTTTAAACATAACATAAGTATGTGATTTGCTTGAAGTTCTTTTTACACGTTTCTTAGCATTTTAAGTCACGTCTTTTGACGCGTTCAAGACATGTAAATTATAATTTAATACGTTTAAACATGTTAAGTGATGTGACTTTAAACGATAAGAAAGAAATTCAAAATAATACATTCAGATTTGTATGTGTATCGATATCATACACAATTAATTTTTTTAATCAAATACACATGCGATCAAGTGTACGCGTATCGACAAAAGTTGAACGATGTTGATTATATGAATTGTGTAATTTGCGTGAAATGCCAAGTAATGAATGGAAAACAGATACGACGTTGATAACTGAAACATATATATACACGAAACATATATATACGCGAACAAAGCAAATATCTATTCGATAACGATAGAAACGCGGTGTGTGAATTTAAAAATAAATGATAGAAAAATAACTTGAATATTTCAATTATATATGTATATATAAAATTGAAATATTTAAGTTATTTTTCTATTGTTTTTAAATCTGCGTTTTATTTTTAAATCCGCGCGTTTCCATTGTTATCGATCGAATATTTGTTTCGCTCGCGTATATTGTTTCTTTTATTGATTCAACCGACACTGTCCACATCGCAAAATAAATTATTACTATATACAGATTAATTGATCGGTATATCCAGTGTAATAATAAAAATATTGACTATACGGACAAAACACGACGTCATTAATATATTAACGTGTGTACATTTCTGCGTTTATCTGCAACAAACATCGATCGACGCAAAACTTGCTAGTAGAAGCACAGTTAAGCTGATTAAATTGCTAATTCGAAACATTACTTTCGAATAAATAATAAGCAGTCAACGTACTGACCATGACGACAAAACAGAAAAAGGAAAAAGCCGTTTGACTACTATATTCATGTTACGCGTGATTGTCGGTAATCCTTTTGAAATTTTTATTACGGCAGAAGCGAAATAACGAGTTTGCATTCAGGCATTCCATAAATCATCACAAGCTCAATAGGAAGTAAAAATGGAAGGGAAAGTATCGACAGGAATATCTGTCCACTCGAATAAACAAGTAACATATCGCGCGTTATAACGCACATATCAAATTGCTCACAAAGGGTGTCGTGAAAAATAAATTAAAGCAAATCTGTCGAAGATGACGAGCGAAATCGCACGTGTCCGGGGTTACCCGTACACGCACAGATGTCGCCGGAACTTTAATAATAAATATATTTATTTGTTTTCTCTAGGCTCGATAAGCAACATAGACGGCGCAGAATATCATTGCAACAAAACCGCCGTGCGAAAGATAATCAGCGGTGTGGTCGGCGCGGCCAGTTCAGTAACGTCAATTCAAGTCGCCAACCTCCTACGGCTGTTTAGAATTCCGCAAGTAAGTACATAAGCCTGTAAGTCCATCTGTTCCGCTGTAAAACACTTGGTCGGTTTAGCCGTGTGAGAGTATTTCGCGTGCATAAGTATTTCGAGAATTATGACATTTCATTCGGAAGAATCTCCTTAGAACGATATTCTCTCAAGTGTTCCTCTGTTATTGTATTTCTCTCGGTGGATTCTCCCCGTTTTCACTCGTCGAACAAAACACAGGAGAACGAGGACGACGAAATATAATAATTCCTTTCCGTGACGTGATTAATATGAAAGATAACAGTGAGTAACCACGGGGGGTTAACAGAGGGAAAATTGATAAAGGGAAGGACGGTCGTGCCAAACGTGAGGGTCGAAGTAAGACAGTAAAGCGCGGGCAGAAAATTCCGTAGGACAGCGCATTTTTCTCACCTTTCATAGCCGCGACGTCGCGAAAATTCAGAGCCGGGCGATATCGTCGTGCTTCTGGAAGAGGGTGAAAATGGCAAGCACCAGCGAACCGTGAGGACTTCATTCTTGACGCGAGTTTACGGAACCCGCGGTTTAAAATCTCCGTACCGTGAAATCACCTCATCCAACGCTACTTTCCTTATAAGCCATTCGAGTCTCTTGGCCCGTTTTACCTTTCAGCGCTCTATTAGCTGAGATTTAAAGGGTGCTACTATAACACGCTATCCGTCCAGCCGCAAAAGTGGCGTATTGCTGTTAAATTTTTCCCAACTCGCCAATCTCGGTATTTATTTTAGATTAGCGTAACATGTTTGTTTAAACAAGATTGAACTAAACAGAATTCCTGGTTATTATAATGAAATATTCTGAATGCAATTTTATTTAGTTTGATTAAAGCAACCAAATTTATCTAGTTACTTTAACCAATCGCTTGTAATCAAATTTGTCTGGTTATGTTAATAAAAAATATGATTCGATCATATCTCACCGAATAGTCTGATGTATCAATTTTGATGCATCATGAATTTTGATTAATTCAAGTAATTACTTTCGATTTACATGATACATAACTTCGTAATGTGCGCGAAAATAAGAGAATGTTTTATTTGTGTAAGCGTGTGGGATATATTTTATATCTTAGATATTTTTTTCTTAGATTTCATGTAGAAACAATCTTTTTTGGCGCTGTCTTCTTTAGTACTTTTTCTTAATTCTTTTTTCATCTATTAAGATTATTTACGCACATGGACTTTATTCGATATTATCTATTCACGTCATTAAAGTCGAACGGAGTGTACGTTACATTCGACACGAAGTAGTCGAAAAATTGTATCGCCTCTTCACGATACAATTTTTCATTTCATGGAGCATTAACGGTCAGTTTTCAAATAATGTAACAGCATTTAAAAACGAAACTTCGCAACTTATTAATTCGATAATTACGTGTAATTTTGAAATCGTTTAAACGCGAAGAATCTTTCGCAATTATGCTATGTTCAGATTTACTTTTTGTTTAAGTCGAGAGCGACGAATGGACTGAAACGTTCGTTCTCAATTGCATATGTCGATTCTCGGTCTTTTGGACGAGCGAGGAGGAAACTCATTTATCTGCATAAAACGATAGAATATTGGAATGGAGCAGCTACGAGTGTGGCCGACAGTCGGACCGATATTTCACGCGACACTCGTATATGCTAGTGTCCGTGGTCAATTGAGTTTTTGCGTGCAAACGTCTCCGTGCAATACGAGAGCATTGTCGCGTCAATTTCAATCGTTCGAGTCTTATCTCGTCACTGACGTATTGCATAGTGCAGTTTCGTCTTCGTTCGCTCGTCTCGCCCAATTAGCCGAGGATCAATCGAGAACGATCGAGTTTGCTCGCTTAGCCGACAAAGGAGAACCAACTGGCTGCTTTCCGTTCAACATATCCTTGTCTTCCAAAGAGATTATCAAGAGTTTGACTTTGTTAGTTTGGAGAGAATAACATGAACTAATACGTACAAGATAGTGATAGACGAAACGATTCTTACAGAGAAGATTATTTGGTCGATCAAATGCAGTTATCTAGTAAAACTAAATGTCTAGTCAAATAATAATAATAAGAACGCATCGAGCTTAAAAAATGATCGAATAGAAGATATTTACAAATTTTCAATGCCATTCAAAAAAACATGATTTGTATTAGTGTGTGCCTTATTTCGCGAATCGTTTGTACCCCGAAATGTTCAAAAGAATATCATTTTTAGAATCCGACAAAGTGAAAATCTTGTCATTTATTGTTAATCTATTTAAAAACAGGGAGATTTTCATTTTATCTTGTATATGTGTATATTTTTATGTTCCCTCATAACTTGAAAACTGTTAGTGATATTGAGATGAGATTATGTCTGTGGAAGGTGAAAATCTAGTAAATGAATAATTTCATCATTTTCTTGAAAATCGGGGAACATCTAAAGATACAAAACGAAACTTTTATTTTTAACCAATTAAAAAAGAATTCTTTTAATCGACTTTGAAAACAGATTTCTAGTAAATAATTAAAAAGTACACAGTAAAAAACTTTTTCATAAGACAAGTCGCCTTCAAAAATTTCGAAAGCCTTAAAAGACAAAATAATTTTGAATCGATACTTTTACTTATAATCTTAATATTCTTACCTCAATCCTTACTATCCTAATACACTTACTACAACGGTATTAGAAGTCAACACAAAAAGAGGTAGCCAAAATTAGGTAGCCAAATAATTATATAGAGAGATAAATGATAACAAAAGTATGATTACAAGTAAACACTTATGTATTAATTTTTGTATTATAACGTTACTGAAGGGGTATTTCTGTTTAATAAATAAATACTAAAAACTAAATACTAAATTATTGAATATTACTAAATTATTAATTGTTACTCAGGTTTTCGCGCCGACTTCTAATATTGTTAGAATACTAAAATAATATTGTAAGTACTTTGTAGGAATATAGTGTCAAGGTTATTTTATACTTTTTAGGGCTTTTTAGTTTTAGAAGGTAGTTTATTTATTTTTCTTTTATAGATATCTCGAAATGATGGATGGCAATCGAAAAAGGAAATATAAGCAAACGGCATTGGGGAATTTGAAATATCTTCTACTCGGCCGCTATCTATTTTTTTAGCTGCCTTGTATTTTTATCCTTTGAAATATAAACGAAACGAAAGACATCACAAAGAGTTACGAACGAAATATAAACTAAACTACGTTCGGAGATATTTTTTGTTCAAGTCAGCCACTAAGTCCACAACGCGACTCGAGGACGAATTTTGACTCATTGATCATTGAGCAGTATAATGGATTGAAATTTCGCACGTACAAACTTCGTAATAATAGCTCATCTGGAGCTCCTCCAAGCCAAATTACCAATCATCATTCTCAATATACGCGAGCGAGCAAATTAACTCGGCTATTTATTCTGGACATATTGTAAGGATCGTATTTTACGACGTCGGGCTTCTCACCGCGATGGATATAGAGACACGTCGAACGATAATGGACACATTTACATGCAAAGTTATGAATATCGTATTAAGAAAAGATTAAAACGGCAATTTAACATGACGATAAGTGATAATGATCCATAAGTTCGCCGAGGCGAACGTGGCGCGCTCAACAACGAACACAGTTCAGTGATGCTCTACACAAACGTCTAGAAATAAATAAACAGATTTTCGAGCAAAACACTCTATACAAAGTGTCTGACAGAAACAACGCGTACCAACACTTCATTACACATACAGCAATTTACTGTTAACAAATTTTAATGTTAATTTGTTTCCCAGAATTATCTAAAAGAAGATAATGTGCAAGAATTGCAGACAAATTCACAGACAGTTGATTAAAAGTTGCGACATTTTTCATGAGTTTCATAATGTATCCCATATCCAACAAAAGAATTTACTTTTTTAATAATCCCTAGAAGACATATTTTCTTACTAACTACGTAATACTTTGCAAAACTTATCGAGGAAAACTTGTCTCGCAACTTTTAATCTTATAACGCAAGTCGTTATCGCTCAACAAAAAGCCTTGTATTCTTAAATATTTGGTCAACCTAAAATTTCCCGTGTTATCAAGTAAAAGATTAGGAGGCGCGCAAAAGTCGAAACGACGCATATCCTCGCACAGTCGAGAAATAACGCGTAACTCATATCGAAGAAGGAGATATTTCGTTCGAATGCGTCAAGTGTCTGGATCCCCTCGCAAAAACTCGGCTATCGCCGATTCATGCCTCCGAGAATCCAGGCTGGCGGAGTTTGAAAGAGATTTCGTGGGGATTTAAGGAAAGACGTGGAAGGATCAGGCTGGATATAAGTCTAGGGAAACCGCGGCGGATTTAATTTTAGTCCATAATTCCTGCGCCAGGATTTCTATCCGTTTCTACGGTTGGGCGTGGGCTCGCGAAACAGACGCATGACGCGCCCGTCGCGGCCTGCAGCTTCAAACAGCTGCTTGGAATCGAGCTGAGCGGCTCTTTGAAGCGCGCACGAAATTGCATTTGAATAAAAGAACGAAATAATATCGACGTAGGACGAGGGAGCAACGTCTCCGAAGGGGACGAGCAACAGATGCATAGATACCGCGGCTCATTTCGAATTCCAATTTTGAACAAATTGGAACAGACAGAATATACATGTATGTACGCGCTTTTCCGTCCTCAATATACATCACAATCGCGAAGAATACAATTTCCTAAATTGTGAACAAATTATTATCATTAAAAAACGATGTCGATCGATTGAAACTCCATTGTAGAGAATAATAACGGTAATACGCTGTGACTGAAATATTACAAAGCGTTAAGCGAATGAATGTTTTAATCGGCGGAGAATATCCATCGTTAATTACGTTAATATTTCATCAGATGCGAATTAGCTCTTAAATATTTCACGATACTACCGTAATCAATGTCGCTACTGTGCTTAATATCGAAGAGAGAGCGCGCGCTTATATCATTCGACCACACAAACACATAATTAAAAAATCTCTCATTAATAACTCTCTTTAATCGAACCTAATGGCGACGTATC